TGCTGCCCTGTGCCACCTGTCGCATCTCTGCGCCGGCTGGGCAGCGCCAGGATCTCGGCTTTGGGCAAGCAGGTGCTCCCAGCCCTGCTCTGGGGACCCTTTTCTGGCGTCCGGGAGGGCGAGGAGCTTCTTGCAGGCTGGGGGGAACCCTGTCTGCCCAGCCCTGGTGCTGGGCATCTATGTGGTGGCAGGCGCTTCCTGCCAACTTGGCCTGGCAACTTTTCTTGGGCCCCTCTGTGAGCCTGGGATGCTTTGGTGTCAGGGTGGCTAGCCACTATGGCACAGCACGGCGGTGCTGGGGCACAGATGTGTGCTGTGCCGCCTGCCTGCGGCGGGAGCAGGACCCTTCCTTTCCCCAGAGCTGGTAGGGGGGGACTCAGTTCTCCCTCCCCGGCGTGTCAGGCCCCAACGCCACCCAGGCTGGGCTGTGGGGTCATGGAGAGCTCGGGTCCCCGCAGTGTCCCTGGCGGGGGGTGGCATTGGCGCCTGGACGTGGCTGCCCAGCATCCTCCCCGAGGAAGGCTCCCGGGGCCGAGAAGTGTCGGCTGCTGCTTCCTGCCAGGGCAGGGGTGCTGGGTGCCCTGTTACAGCTGCGGGGGCCTGTCTGGCCTCTGTGCCCTGCCCAGCCCCCTCCAATGTACTGAGCCGTCTGCAGTCACTGCCCTGGCGTTACTGCTGGTTCCTCTGCCACCCCTGGCCCCTGTGCCCCCTCACTGGGCATCACTCTCCTGCCCACAGCACCACCCTGGCTCTCTGTTCTGCCTCTCCAGTTTATTGCCCGCCCTTGGCCATGACATTCCTGTGGCTGTGAGCTGGCAGCCTGGTCCTGCTCTTGGGTGTCTGGGCATGCTGTGACCCCTCACATCTGCTCCCTGGTTGTCTCGGTCCCAGTGCTGTACCCAGTTTGCTGTGCCCCTCCTGGAGGGTGGGGTTGGACCTCACATTCCCTCCAGGTCTGCTCTGAGCCAGGCCATGGATGCTGCCCCCTCCCCACTGCACCATGCCAGCTCTCAGCGTGCACGTTATGTTTAGCAGCTGCCGTCTCTGCAAGGCATCAATTTCCTGGCTTCCTGAGGGCCTCGAAGTGCAGCGGGGGCGTCTCCACCACCAGACAGTCTGAGCCCCGGCCTGCCAGGGTGCACCGACGCTGGCACCATCCTGTCTGTGCCTTGCCCGGCGCGCCCGGTCCCTTAGCAGGGCAGTGCCAAGCACCCCTCCTGCTTTGTTCCCTGCCAGGCACCTGGGGGCCCTCAGCCTGGAAAAGCAAAGAGCCCACAGGTCTCGCTGGCTGGCGCCAGGGCTGTGACAGGAAGGCTGAGGCTGCCTGCACCAACGTGTGATAGCACGAGACGCTGTGCTGTCTCTCACTTCCCGCCCCCCCGGAAGGAAAGAGCTGCTGTGCACCAGTGGAGAGGGCCCCGATTGCCGTCTGGTGGGTTCCTTGCTGTGAGCGAGGGACTGGGGAAAGGGGGCTGGGGGTTGGCAGGGAAGGGACACCTGGTTTCTGCTTTCAGCTCTGGGTGCAGGAGCTGGGCTGCAGCGAGCGAGGTTTCCTAGGTTCCTTCCGGGCTTGGCTGATGTGCTGCAGGGCTCTGGGGAAGGAAGGCGAGGGCCTTTCTTTCCACACCCTGTGCTCAGGCCTTGTGCTGCCTGGTGCAGCTGGGTTGTCCCCTCATCCTGATGGGCTGCTTTGTTTCATGCCAGGTTCGGCGGGTGCCACACTCCTGCTGCCATGTCCGTGACTGTGACTCTGATGGGCCCAGCCCCCTGGGGCTTCCGCATCACTGGGGGAAGGGACTTCAGGAAGCCCATCACTGTGTCCAAGGTAAAAGTGTTCTTGGCGATCGCGCCAGGCGTGAGAGGCTCAGGGGCACTGGGAGCCAGGATGCCTGGGTTGTACGCCAGGCCCCATCTCTGTGCTTCCTGGAGGGTGGCTTCAGGCTGGGAGATCGTGCGTGCTTGCTCTGGCGATGCCCAGCCTCGGAGGCCTGGTCTGGACGGGCGTTTGGAAGGTACTGGCTGCAGCTCGGTGCAAGGTGTCAGACAGACCGAGGTCCAGGTGGCCCAGACCTGTGCAGGATGCAAACACATTGGCAAATACCTTCTGAATCTTAAAGGTGCTGGATTCGCTCCAAGTGGAGAGCCCGGGGCAGCAGCCAGGCAGGGCGGCACATCCTTACAGCCACTGCTTGACTTGCAGCCGGTGGGCTGCACGGGGTGACAGTGCTGTAGCAGTCTAGGCAGAACTGGGAGCAGGGATGAAGGAGCTGTTGCAGAGGCTGCAGGCACTTTCTCTATGGGGCTGGCAGGGGAGAGCCCTGGCACTGGGACTGAGTTGCTGAGGGATTTCTGGGGGTTTCCCTGCTGCTCTGGAGCCCTTTTTGTTCCCTAGGCATGGCAAAGGGAGCAGATCCGGTTTACTGTCCTGCTCCCTGGAAGCAGCCCGAAGCCCGGCTGTGGTACGCAAAGGCAAGGCACACATTGCTGCCTCAGAGCCAGGCAGGACCCTGCTGGCCAAGAGGAGTTTCCTTTTGCCATTCCTCCCTCCCTGGCCATTGCAGCAGAGGGAGCAGGTGCTCCAAGTGCTTTGCAGCTCCATCTGCTCCAGTGGTCTCTGTAGGGCGGGGCATCTTGGGCATATGGTCCCCAGCTTTCAGCTAAGCCCCTGGTGCTTATGAGCAAGGGCCTTTCTTTAGCAATTTGCTGCCTCTCTTACAGTAGCTGGAAGGTGCTATGTGAGTGAGGCAGGGGCTTGCAGGAAACTGGGGGCATTTCTGCTGTTGGATACTGCCCTGGAAACCTGATTCCCAGCTGTTGCAACCCCTCAGGGGAGTGGCTTGAAAGCAAAGGGTTGGGAGGTATCATGTGCCCAGGCAGAGACCCTGCGTTGGCATGGCTGATGTGCTGAGTGCTCTGGGCTGCAGCTGAAGCCACTGGGAGCTGGACCCTGGCCTGAGCATGTGCAGCAATCGCTAATGAGAAGCATAATGGGAAAGGCTGGGTCCTGGCATCTGGGGGAAAGTGCCTAGAGTGGGTGTGCTATACCATGCCAGTCCTCATGCTGGGGCTGATGCCGTCCTTGCTGCCTGCAAAGAAGGAAGGCAATTAAGACACTGCTTTAAACATGTGATGTTGATGAGGAGCTGGGTGTAGCTGGTCCTGAAGCAGGGTTTGGGTCAGGCTCTGGAGAGGAAGGTGGCGAGAGGGAATCTGGTGGGAGCAGCATCCTGGCCGGGGGGCGAGCACATGTTCATGTCATTTAAGACGGTGTCAGATCAACAAAGGGTGCACGAAGACCGCATGCATGGCCTTTACCCTGGCGGCTCCACACTGCTTAGCCCCGTGTCCTCCCTTCCTTTGCTGCTGTGTTGATAATGAGACCTGAACTCTGGCCTCCTGGGTGGGGTCCTGGTAGGGGTGTGGAAAGAGGCATGTGCACACCTTACCCTGATCTTGGTGGGAGCCATGCTTTGAAGGGTCTTAAAAGGGCATAGCAGGGTCAGAGACTTTTGGGGACAGGGGGAGCAGAGCTGAGAGCATGGGGGCGAGAGGGGGCCCTTAGAGGAAGCCTGGGTTGTAGGGCCTCTGGTCACAGCTAACCAGCTTTGCTGGCTCTGCCCTGGGTCTTGTCCGGGAAGCCTCATGCTGGTAGCAGCTTCCAGAGGGCTGTGGATGTCTGGCTTTGGGGCCCATTACCTGGGAACCTCCTATATGGGCAGCTGGCTCTAGGACCCTGGAAGGAGCTGGGCACTCCTGAGTCAGCCCCAGTGGTGCCCCGTGCAAAGGAATCACTGGTGACTCAGTGGGAGGTGGGTTTGGCTGGCCGGGGTCTGGGCACCTCCCTGGGCGTGTGCTCGCTGCAGGGTGCCGCAGCCCAGAGCCAGTGTTTTCTTAACTCGGGCAAGGCAACCCAGGTTGGCCCAGGAGGCTTGTAGGGCTGGAGGGAAGCTGGGGCAGAGGGGGTGGCTTACCCATCCAGCCAGGGCTGAGCACAGGTTGGTGCATGCCTCTAGGAAGGCTCTGCCTGTCTTGCCTTTGTCCCTCTCAGAGGGTGCCCTGCCTTGCTGCTTCTTGCAGGAAGCTGCAGGTGACCCACGGCAGAGGGGCAGTGTCTCCCAGGGGGCTGACACTGCAGGCCAGCTTGACCCACACTGTATCTCACTTGGGGCAGCTGTCTCTTGAAGGCTCAGATGAAGCATAGTGGCTTCTTAACCCGGCAGGGGAAATACCATGGATCGGTGTCCAAGAAGGCAGGTTTCGTGAACGGCCTCGTAGGAGAACTGCACTTCTGGCGTGGTTCGGTACCCGCCGAGGTGCAGTGACTTTAAGCCCAGTTTATGGAAATGGGAGTCTCCTCCCTTGCTTGGTCCGAGGGCCTCATGGCTGAGGGCAAGCAAACCTTGGGGGCATCCGAACCCCAAGCCTCTGGGCTTGGGCCTGCAAGTAGGATGTCCGTCAAAGGTTTTGGAAACATCTGAAGCCCTAGGTGCAGGTGGAGGATGTTTACCAGTAATAGGGCCAATTATGGTTCTGGATTCTTGGATTTGGAATTAGTTTTGGCTAATTTGTCCTTGGTTACAAGTTTGTTTGTTTGTTTGTTTGTTTGTTTTTAAAGCTATTTTATACCTTAATGTGTGTGTATCTTCCCCCACTCCCCAACCATGACCCTGAAGGTGACAGAGCAAAGCAAAGCAGCTGCGGGTGACCTCCGACTTGGCGATGTCATTGTTTCCATCAATGGCGAGAGCACAGCTGAGATGCTCAACGTGGAGGCACAGAACAAGATCAAGCAGAGCTCAGGCCAGCTGCAGCTGCTGGTGGATAGGTGGGTGCCCAAGCCCTGCTCTCATGAGCTTTCCACTTGCTCATGGGGCTTCAGTTCTGTCCATTTGGGGCTGGGTATGAGGTCTCTGTGATGCCCTGGGGCAGTTCCCCCTCTTTTCATGACTCCATGAGTAGGATCCATCCCTGCCACTGTTCAGCAGCGGGTGACCTCAGAGATGGAGCTGGGAGCTAGGACCCCTGGGCTCTTTCTGAGGCTCTGCGGCTGACTGTGCAGGGGTCCCCGCCCCTCCTTAATGGTGCCCATTCCCACACCCACAGCCAGCAGGCCACCTTGCCTTGCCCATCTGCCCACACTTGAGGAGATGCCATTTTTGCTGTCACCCTTGGGCACTTAGTTAAACTGGACCCTTGTGTGCACACGGAAGCAGGCAGCTCTGGCAGCCTTTCCCCTGTAGCCCTGGTCTGACTGGTTCCAGCTCTGAAGCAGCTCATGGCAGCATGCAGCCCTTGGGGACATGTGCCTATCGCACCTGGGAGCAGCAGCAGGCTGGGCATGAGGGACACCTGGCACCAGCCTGGTGCAGCAAGAGCTGGGAGCTGGGTGTGGTGCTCATGCCTGGCTGGGCTGCTGCAGAGGGACCCAGTGTGGTGTGAGCTGGCCAGGCTGTCGCCTCTGTGGCTGGCTTTCTGCATCCCTGCCCATCGGGTAGGGCCCTAGCTGGTGGAAAAGGGACTCCTCCCCAGCCCGGCACGACTGCCTGCACTGAGCTGCACAGCAAATCCAGGGCCCTGCGGCTGTCTGCACCCTCCCCCTCTTGCCCTCTGCACCTTGCTGCCCCGGGTGGGAAGGCAAAAGCTGCTTTATGCTGCCTCCCGTGATGACTCGGCCTGTCTGGAATGTGCAATCCTCTTTGCACGGGGGTGCAGAGCGCATCCTATAAATACCTGGCTGAGCGGCCTGTCTGGGGCGTGGCTGCCGGCCGACCTGACTCACAGCTTGCTTGGCCCCAGCCAGGTGTTGCAGGGCTAAGTCGGGACATGCCCTGAAGCCCTTGGGAAGCTCTGCCTCACCCCGTCAGCCCCTCCTGCACCAGGGAGTTGGGCTCAGCAGCCTGCAGCACCTGCAAGTGGCATAGGCCCCCTCCCTGCGGGGCATGTGTACGTGCCAGCATGCTGGTACCATGCGGTGTGGCAACAAGGCCTGCCCTCGGGCTGCATGGAGTCAGAGAGCCCTGTCCTGAGCGCACAGATGGTTCTCCCCCAGCCCTGAGCAGCGCATGCGTGTCGGCTGCATCCTCTTGCCCTCTCCAACTGGCTCGGACATGTGGCGGGTTTGACGACGGGTGGGAAACCCTAATGGCATGTTGGACATGGCCCAAAGCCCACAAGCACAGCCGGAGCAGCTCAGGAGGCAGCATTCCTCTCATTCCGGGCTCTGCAGCTAATCTCCTTCTCTGGGAGCCGGCCCGCTGTCCCTGTCCTCCAGCCGGGTCACCGGGACTGGGTCAGAGCTCTCGTGCTCCCTGGCTGCTGCCTGTCCCCCCACTCTGCTCCGGCAGCTGCTGCAGGGTGATGCTAATGAGCTTGGGGGAGCCACATGGTCCAGTCAGTGCCCAGGAGGACTCTTGTCTGTCTGTTTGGAGCAGCTGGGTGCTCCATGCATTTGCAAGCTGGGGGAGGAAGGGGTTGGGTTGCAGCTGCCCCGCTGTGGCAGGGTGACTTGCTGCAGGTTCTCTGACATATATGGGGTTGTAGGTGCCCACTGTGGGGGTCGTGCTGCCCTTGCTCCTGTCTTTGGGGCAAGGGCATCCTGTGCCCACTTGGGGTCTGGAGGGGTCCTGCCAGCACCTCGGCTCCCTGGAGCACAGCATCAGAGGGGTTAACCCCCTGCTCAGCCCCCATCACCGCTGCATTCCTCTGGGCCCATCTAGACCCCTCGGAGCTGCCTCCCTCCCTCCACTGTTTAATTCCCCTTAATGAATTCCAGCTCCAGCTACATCAAAGCCCCAGATGGAGTCCTGGTGAAGAGGGGAGAGAATAGAAGCCAGCCCCATGTTCCCTTCTGCCTGCATCCAGCATGCAATGGGCAGGACGAGCAATGGGCCGTCGGTCCAGCTGCACCTGGCTGGGTACCTGTGTAGGGAGGGCGCCAGCTCTGTAGCAAGCGGAGTGCTTGTGACTTGGGGGTGAGGCTGTTTGTGCCCTCGGTGACTGGGGAGGGGTGGCTGCAGGGCTGTGCTGTCTCCCTCCAGGCACGAGGAAGGAGACGTGTTGGGGGTGCTGCTGGGTGGGGTGGGAGGAATGACATGCAGAGGCAAGGTGACTTGTCAGGGGCCTACAGGCAGTCTGTAGTTGGGCGGGCATCTCCAGAGCCCCAGAGCAGCCCCTTGAGCACCACTTGATCCCTCCCCTCCACTGCTAATGTGCACTGGGGCTGCAGGCTGGCAGCTGCCCTATGAAGAAGCCAGCAGCCACGAGGGGAGGGGAGGCTGGATGTGGGGACCAACCCACCATCACCCCAGGGCCTTGGGCCTAGCTCTGGAAATAGGTGCCCAGCTCACAGTTGCCCCCTTCTTGCCCTGCTTGCAGGTCCCTGTTGTTCTCTCCCAACCAGACTAATGGCGAGAGCTCCCCCGAGGTCCTGGCCACACGGTTCCAGGTGAGACCCCTCCCTGTTTTTCCCCCAAGACCCCCCAGGCAGGAGATGACATAAGGGGACCCTACATCGCTCCTGCCCCTTGCTCAGGCTGGTCCCTTGACTGATGGCCTCTCTCTCCTGTTTGCCAGGATGCCATGAGAACCAGAGATGACAGCCAGAGCTCACTGAGATCCTCCTACTCCAGCCCCGCGTCCCTTAGCCCGCGACCCGGCAGCCCCTTTTTGCCCACATCCCCCGGGTTGCAGCCGAGCAGCCCCTACATCCCCCTGCAGCCCAGCCTGGGCTCTGAGGCCAAAGCGGAGCTGGTGACCAGCCGCAGGTGAGGGCTGGACCTGGCAGGCCTGGGAGCCAATCTGTACTGGGGTGAGGAGGTCTCGACAATCCACCTCTGTAGTCAAGGAGGAGAGAGGTAGTGTGCATGCTGGGTGTGAGGCTGGTGGGACGACCTTGGACACTGCTGCTGTGGGCATGCAGGGTCTCAGTGGGCCTGGCAAGGGGGCACATCAGGGCTCTGTGGGTCCCTGAACCCAGGAGCAGGACTTTGCATGGACTCCCCTCCTCTTCCCAGCTTCCAGTCTCTGGCCAGCCCTGCCAGCATCAGCGAGGATCGCTCACCCTTGCCACACATGCAGTGTCTGGGCAGCAGGCAGGTGAGCTGAGACATCGCCCTTCCTAAGGTGGGGCAGACTGCATGCCTGGGGTAGCTGATGGGGAGGGGGTGCAATGGGGACAGAGTTGAAGGCCGCCCTATCCTCTCCCTGACACTCGCTCTTGCGCATGCTCATCTGGGCTGGTCCCCAGAGCCCTCGTGATGTCTTGTCTTGTCCTGCATGGAGCCATGGTGTATCAAGACAAGGTCATGAACTTCCCCGAGGTCCCCAAAGTCCTGGCCATGCCATGTCTGAACCCGGGATCTGTGGATGGGTGTTTGCCCAGCAGCTCGTTGAGCCTGTCGCTGTCTCGGATGAAGGTGCCAGGTGCCCACCTGGCCATGACAAAAGTGGGGAGGTCCTTTCTGAGCAGCCTGGAGCAGGGAGCTGGCACCTGCTGGAGAACCGGGGACAATCTTGTTGGCGGCCTGGGACGTTCCCATTCCTTCTGCAGGGTCCCACTGGGCTCTCGCCCCGGGGGTGCTGTCAGCTCCAACACTGCTGCATGGGGTTGCCAAGGATTGGTACTTCTCTGGGCTGAGCCCCACCCCTCCCATCTGCCCCACTTGCTTAACCCAGGACCTGCCCCCAAGGCCCTGTATCCATCCTCTTTCCTTGTAGCTTCCCTCCCCCAACAACGACTCTGGTTCCGGGTGTTTGCAGGGCTCCAGCATGGCAGTGGGAAGCTGAGGGCATAGATAACTTCCCCAAAGCCCAGGCTGGCCCCGTCTCTGCCCCTGCCACTAAAGCTAGGGTCACAGAGCCGCGGTGGCCTTGGCCCCAGTGTGGATGCAGCTGCATGCCGCCACCTCGCCCTGCCTCACACGCAGCCCTGGTCCCCGCGGGGCAGCCGCACAGCTGGCTGGGGATGTTTGCTTGTCTCTACCTGGTGTCTCCAAGCAACACCTGGAAGCTGGGGAGGCCAAACCAGTTTGGGGAGGTGCTGTTGTCTCCCGTGGGCATGGGGAAGCCGGGGCGTTGGCAGGTGAGGCGACTTGCGCTGCCCTGTGCGGGAGCCTGTCACGGGGGTGCTCTGTTGCCTGACAGGCCATGCTGTGGCTGGATGCTGCCTGTCCCAGGACCCCTGCCCCCTTTTCTGGTCACCGGTCCCGAGCAAGGATTGCAGAGCTTGGGGCTGGGCACCTGCACCCCAGCCACTAAGTGTGCATCAGGCAGCCCAGCTTCCCTGGGTGTGCTGCAGAGCCTGGCTCCCAGGGGCTGGGTCCTGTTGCCTGCAGGGCATGGGCAGGGGCAGCTGGGACTCACTACTGGGGCCTATGGACATGCACGCTTACAACTGCCATGCAGGCCTCCTGCAGCGTGGTGTTCAGGACACCAAGGACCCTTGCCCCCGGCCAGGCCTGCTGGTTTCCCGATCCCTGGCACTGTCCCTGTGGCACGATGCCTCCGCAGCTCCTTCCCTCCCACCGCAGCGTGTTTCTCTTGGGTCCCGGCACTCCTGGGCCCCGCACGGCTGCTTGTTGTTGTTGTTCTTCCTGGCTCCGTGGCAGCCCTGGTTCCAGGGGCTGGGCTGGGCTGGCCTCTCCCTCCCTCTCGCTGGCTCTCTCTTTTTCTGGGGCTGGTGGGGATATTTTTCAAGCCCAAATTGGGAGGTGCGGTGGCCCTGAGCACGGCTCGCTCCAGCTGGCAGTGGATCGGCCCTGGCCTCAGCAGCCCCTTTGGTCTCCCCTGCCTGTTTGTTCTTGCGTTCTTTCCCTGCCTTGCTCACCAGCCTGGCTGCCCTTCTGAAGCTGGGGATGGGAACGCCGGGATGGGGCTACGCCCCTGCTGTGCAAGTGCACGCCTCGGCTCTTGGGGCAGCTGACAGCAAGCAGCGTGGGAGGCCTGGGGTGCAGCACCCCTGATGGGTCTTGCACTGCCCAGCTCCGTGCCGCCCAGCCTGGGGGGTTCTCCCCTCCCTGTCTTGCTGCCTGTTTTTGGGGCAGCTGACCTGACCGCACATGTGGGTGTAGGGATCCCACTGCACAAGGCACTGACAGTGGGGTCGGTGATCCCCTTGGCAGGCTGAGGAGTGCATGGGGTATTTCTTGGTGGGCTCTGGTGAGCAGGGGAGATGTGAGGGTTTCATCTGCTTGTACCCCAGGTATTGGTCCTCACGGTGGGGAGCTGTCTTGGGGTCTGCTTTGCACTTGGATCCTTGCTGGGGCTCCTGCCGGATGGGAGGGGGCTCCAGATCCATCTCCCTGCCCTGCTCCCTCAGGACAGGGGCGAGCTGCTGGGCTCTGCTGCCTGGCGGGGCACGTGGCATCAGGCATCTCTTGCTCTCTTTCTCGTGCGCCCAGAAACATTTGCTTTCACTTATCTGGGGGTTTCTTCTTTCGTGTGTCTCCAGGCCTGTTAAACAGGAGCAGATGCGGCGGGAGGGGCACGATGGCGCTAGGCTTCAAATAGCGGCCCGGCGCTCAGGGGAGGGGGAAGGGGCCAGGCTGCAGGAGCCTGCGGGGGGGCAAAGCTGACCTGGAGCAGGGCAGGGTACAGCTGTGGCAGTGGAGGGATTGGGGAGAGAGGGACATGCGGGGAGTGGGGTCTGGCCGGTCTGGGTGCTGGCACCAACTGTGTCTGAACTTGTTGCAGAAGCCAAGGAGCAGCCAAGGCTGAGGGTAGGAGCACAGGATGGTGCCCAGGAGCTGGAGCCTTTGCCCCAGGGCCCAGTGCATGCATCTGCTCCAAGTTGCCACTCTCCCCATAAGATGTGCCTGGGGAGAGACCTGCATGCTCTCTGCACCGCTCCTGTCTTGACATGCCAGCCCTGCTGAGGCTGTGCTGTCCCGGTGCCAGGTGCCCTGCCCAGCTTCCCAGATCCCTTAATATAGACAGAGGAAATAGATGGTAGGGCTGGGGTGCCCCCTCGTGCCCAAAGTGAGCAACACGGGCTTGTGCAAAAGGGCGCGCTCGTGTGTCAGCTTCTGGTCCTGCAGCCATGTGTCTGTGCAGGGAGAAATCAAGGCGGGGGTCCTGGGTATTGGCCCTGGTTCCCTGGCACCCTGAGCATGGCACTGGCAGCTGAACCAGGCCCCCTGTTCTGGCCCTGTGGGGTTTGCTGCAGCTGGGTTCTCCCCATAAACCTTGCTCTCATGCTCCATATCTCTCTGTCACAGGAGTGGGGGAGCCTGGGCCGCCCGAGCTGCTCTCCAGTTGCCGTCCTGCCACCCTTCAAGCGCACGCCTTCACCAAGAGGCTTCACTGCTCACAGCCCCTGGGACCTGGGGAAGGACCCAGGCAGGTCCTCGCCCTCCTACAGCCCTCGCAACAGGTAGGCCAGGGTGTGGGACCTAATCCAGGGGAGGTGGGACCCTTGTGGGCATGCTGGCACCTGGGGAGGGAGCCATAGTCTCCTACCTGACCCAAGAGCCCCAGGCACTGAGGCACGAGGGTGGCACGGGTCAGTAGCAAGCTGCGTAGCTGGAGATAGCTGCAGTGGACTTGGAGGGGTGCTGGAGCTGGGTGTGGAGGGGGAGCTGTTGGTCAGGTTTGCAGTGAAGTTGCAAGTCATGACCCTTGATCCCAACCTACAGCCTGGCCCCTGTCGATCCCTGTGGTACCAATGTCCTAGACTAGAGCCACCTGGCCCCTCCACCAGACCACTTAGCAGGCTGGGAAGCAGCAGGATGGGGTGTCCAAGCAGCACGCCAGGGGGGCCAGGACCCCTGTGAGAGCTGGTGCACCAGCCGGGCTCAGTGTGGGGCCTCAGGAGGCTCAGCCCATGGCTCACAGGTGTGAGGCCCTGGAGAGGGTTAACCGAGCCTCAGATCCAGGTGTGTGTGGGAGGAGCAGGCAGGCCTGGGCATCTGGCGCCAGACGTGCAGGCAGAGCAGGGAGCGTCTGCCTTGTTATCTGGGAGACGGGAGGGAGCCTGGACAGAGACGGAGCAGGTGACGGGGCAGCAGGCTTGGCTGCTTGGGAAAGTGCTGGGATTAGGGTATAGGGGGGGATCCCCGGTTCCCTTCCCCACTCACTGGGGCAGCTGGGAGTGACGCGTGCATGGGGTTGTGCGGTGGTAGGGGCTCAGGCAGGACGGTAGGGGTGGGGTCTGTGCACAGGTGTGCAGAGCTTAGCTCAGTGGGTCCCTAGTCCTCAGCATGGGACCTGCAAGTAGCCTGGGGGTGCAGAAAGGACTGGGCTGGGGGCTCTGCACTGCTTCTCCACAGGGCCTTGGAGAGCAGTGTCCTGTGCATCCCGGCCCCACCACCACAGCCTTCATTCTGAAATGGGGGGTTTACCCCCACGCCAGCCTCAGGCTACTGTGCTCTGCCCCCAGTCTGAGGGAGGTGATGCTGGGGGGATACAGGGCACTGAGCCAGGGGTCGTGCACCTGAGCTGCTGTGTCCCCACAGCGTGGACTCTGAGACAGCCATGCGGTGCCTGGAGGAGGACTCCGAGGTCTACAAGATGATCCAAGAGAACCGGGAGCTGCGGGCTGCCCCGCGGCAGTCCAGCACCTTCCGCCTGCTGCAGGAGGCGCTGGAGACCAACGGTGGAGGTGAGGCAGGGCAGGTGCTGGTCACGGGGTGGTGGCGGATGCAATAGGATTGGAAGTGGCATTGCTTCTGGGGGCCACGTGATGGGGGGGCAGCTCTGGGGAGGGTCCTCAGGCCTCTGGGATCCTGATGTGTCCCTTGCCCTCCCTTGGCAGAGGGCACTGCGACCCCCTTCCCCAGCCACTTGTCCCCCAGCGCTCACAAGCCAGTCTGCAGCTCCGTGGCAGGGGTCCAGAAGCTGCACACATGCGAGAAGTGTGGCAACAGCATTGCGTAAGTGCTGCTTTCCCCAGGGTGCACAGGGAGCTGTGGGGTGGGGGGCCCCTGATGCAGCCCTGGGGCCTCGGTGGTTCCTTGTATCCCGGGACTTTGGTGGGGGTTGCTGTCGTCCCTGCAAGATCCCTTCTTTGTAGGGCAGGGTAGGGTAGGGGTGTCTGCCTGGGCTTTGGCATGTGAGCCTGGAGGGCTGGTTGTGACCACCGTGTCCTCCCAGACTGCTGATTTGAGTAGCCTGGTGCTAGGAGCCCAGGCCTAGGTGCTCTCCCAGTCCCTCCCTAGCTGCATGACTCGGTTTCCCCAGCTGCAAAGGCCTCTTGAAAGGCTGTGAAGCCCCCAGAGCTGTTGCGATGCCATCAGAGCCGGGGCCTGTGCAGATCCCAGACAGTAGGCAGGGCCTGTGGGCATTTTCTGCTGTTGGGTGCCCTTGCCTACTGAAACTTAGGGTTGAGGCAGGAGAAGGCAGCTTGCTCTGCCCGTCTCCTGTGAGCAAGGAGCCAGGAAGGCCTCTCACTGTTTGCCTAAGAGGGCAGGGTCATCCTGGTGATGTTGTTGAGGAGACTGGCACCAGCTGGGCAGGGCTGGAGCCAGGCTGTGGAGGGTTGGTCAAGCCTGCTCCACGTCGTCCTGACCATGCCATGCTATTTCCCGCAGGACCCAGGCGGTGAGGATCCAGGAGGGCCGCTACCGCCACCCCTCCTGCTACGTCTGCACTGACTGCGGCCTCAACCTCAAGATGCGGGGCCACTTCTGGGTGGGCGAGGAGATGTACTGCGAAAAGCACGCCCGCCAACGCTACCAGGGCCCTGGCGCTGGCGCCACCGCCCTCTGCTCCAAGTCCTGAGCTGCCCCAGGGCTGCGGCTTGCAGGCTTAGCCTGCCCCCCGGGAGCTTCTGCCACGCACAAACCCCACAGCCCATGCCATGCACATCACTGCCAGCGCCTGCTCCATGCTGCCCTCCACTGGCCAGCCGCCCGCCTGCCTGCCTGCCTGGTGAGCGGGCACTGCTGCTTCTGGCCAGTGGAGAGGCACTGAGCAGGTGTCCTGCTAATGAAGGGAAGAGGGTGGCTCAGCCTATGGGGATGGGATAATGCCCAGATCATAGGTTGGATTCAGCTCCTGGGACTCTGGCTCCTAGCCAGTGGCTCTCTGGTGTGTGCAATGAGTGCTGCCTGTTCTCAGCCTGGCTCCTTAAAGTCCAGGTGCCCCCAGAGCACGAGAGCAGAGCTGTTGGCAGCTGGGGCACGTTCCTCAGGATGCCGGCTTGTCCTGTCCCTGCCCCATGGGCAGAGGGCTTAGCCCCCCAGGGCTGCTAGCATAGGAGTTCCTGTCCGCCCGGGTCCCTCTCGGTCTCTAGAGCCGCTTTTGTAGTCACTGCCAGCAGCTGTGCGCACTCGAGGTGGGGGCAGGGGCATGCAGATGTGGGGCGGCATCGCTTGGCACATTGATGCTGTTAAGCTTCTCTAAGGTATTAAACCAGATCTCTATGTAAATTATAACATATGTGTACCCCCTCCTGTGTCTGGTGCGTGAGCCAGGGCAGGGCTGGGAGCACAGCCTTTATCGGCAGGCCGTGCCGTAGAGATGGAAACAGGAGCAGGGAGCACCTGTGGGATGGGGGGGGGGCCCTCTTCCTGCACTCTGAGGGGGAGACGGGAGGGGCCTGGGTGCCACAGCGGCACCTTGCCAGGCTTGTGCCCAGGCACCGGTGATGTGCACAGTTGGTGGGATGCAGGGCATGGGTGGTGCAGTGATGGCTCCAGTGCCCCAGGCTGGTGGCTGGCAGTATTGGGGCCAGCTGGGGGTTGCAGGGCATTGCACAGCTTAACGCAAGGTGCTAGCAGTGTCCTCTGCTCGCATCCAGTGCAGTGTGGGTCATTGGCCGCTAGAGGATGTCCACTGCACTGCCTGGGAAAGGGGCTGCTTGCCAGTACCACTGCAGGCCCATAGCCTCAAGGGGCTGCCTTGCCAGGAGAGCTGGCCTGGGATGCTGGTGCAGGGTGGGTGTGGGTGGGGGTGGAGCGGGGCTGCCCTGGGTCAGCACTTCCTGCAGCATCTCCAGGGCTGAACTGCGTCTCTCTAGCATGGGGTACAGCTGGGGGGTAGGGGTACCCACAGGGCCTGGTCCCTGCCCTGGTATGGTGACCAGCCCCCTAATGCACAGCTATGCAAAGCAGCGCCAGCCCCTTCCTAGCGGGTGCGGCTCTGGCCCTGCACAGTCGAGGGAGGGGCTGGATGTCAGGCTGCTGCCAGGAGCTGGGATGGGGGTGCAGAGGGGAAGTGTGGTCCCCCACCCTCTGACCCTTCCTTGCTGGGCCCTGGTGTCTGTGCTCTAGCCCAGCATGAAGGGAGAGGCCACTGAGCCAACCTGGCTCTCCCTGGTGTTGCTGTGTTGCATCAACCTCCCTGGGGATGAGCTGCAGCTGGCCTGGTTAGGGCTTTCCTGTGCTGGTGAACAGGTCCAGCTGATGCATACTCTCTAGGAGCCTGGGGTGCTGAGCATGCAGGCAGCCCTGCAGAACCAGCCCTGGGCTGCAGGACTGGGACTAAAGTCTTTGCCCAGGAGCTTATCCACCTGCAGAGGAGCAGTGTCCTGGGATGCACAACCCAGCTCTGCACTGTGCAGGAAGCCCTTGGAGGTGCTAGCTGCCCAGGGCTGCTGCCCAGTTCCCAAATCACCAGGACTCTCCCAGCTGCCTTGGCCTTGTATCCAGCACCTCCTGCAACCTTTGCAATCACCGGTGCCTCGCAGCTGCAGGAGGAAGCCGCTGCCCAGGTCCGGGAGGAATCCACGCCTCTGCCTGGCATCCGTGAGGGACAGTTTGAGCCTGCTCAGCCAGCACCAGACAGACTCCTGCCCTGCGTCAGACCTAGCCGGCCTTGCCTCCAGCACCCCGTTGCCCTGCAGCGTAGGGAAGGGTAAGTCTGGCTCCAAGCACCCTTTTTAAGTGGGGTAAGCGTGCGTGTTGGGCTGGGCGTTCAGCCTAGCTTGGGAGCAGGGGGCAAAGCAGCTTTGTGGTGCCTTCTTGCATTTGCTGCCCTCTGCTTGGACTGACCTTGTCTCCTTCACAAGACCCCCATGCTTTGCAGGTGGTGGGGAGCAGAAACCAGGAGCCCCCGGCTTCCGTCGTGTGGGGCGGGGTGATGGCGACGCAAGTCTCTGGCTACTCCAGATGCCTGCCCGTTTCCTCGGGGTCAGGGCTGGAATGCCTGGGGGCGGGGGCCGTGGTCGGAGAGGTTGGCGGGGGTCACCCAACCCCGGATTGGGGGGCGGGGTGGTCCAGGCCTTGGAACTGTGCAAACAAAGCCCCATGCTGAGGTGGGGAGCAATGTTCCCAGTGCCGCCTCACTCCCAGTACCCGGGTGCATTCCGGCGCTGGAGTCGCCGCAGCGACGGCCGCTCTGGAATGCGCCCTCGCATTCTCCGCATTCAGGGGCAGGGCTCTGCACACAGCCATTGCGCCCAAGCCCCTGCCTGCTGCAGGAGCTGGGTCATCGTGAGCAGCCGTGCCTAGCCTGCTCTTTTCCCCAGCTGCCTGATGGCTCTGAGAGCAGAGCCAGGGACTGGGACTCTGGGGGTCTCTCTCTGGTCCTGGCGGGGAGGGATCTCTTGCAGGTGCTGCTGTCACTTAGTATGGAGGGGCCGGCAAGGCCAAGGAGGTGGTGAGCCAGGACTCCTGGGTTCTGTTCCTGTGATCCTCGGAAGATGCCACCCCTGCACGGCAAAGTGGAGCCGGGCATGGAGGCATGCCGAGTAGCTGTAGCAGGCTAGCTTTGGGAATGATAGCTGCCAAGGCATTACACCTTCGCTGCTGCAACTGCCCATGCCCACTGGATCCAGAATGCAGGCTGCAGCCCCCAGCCTCCCATTGCAATGCAGACCTTTGTGTACCTGACCCCAGTGGCCAGCTGGAGCTGGGGCCTGTGCAGGCCAGGGCACAGTGTCAGGGAGGGGGATGGAGCTCAGCTGGGGGAGGGCAGCATGCTGTGTGTGCATGGGCTTAGCTAAGGGCCAGGTGGGCTGCTGCTCCTGTAATCCTTTAGGGTAATGATTGTCTTGGCAGGGAGGGCAGACTGCTCCCTGCCCCCTTGTTCTCTGCCAGGAGGTGTTAATGGGACGTGTCAGCAGTTTATTGTGAGCTGTTAGTGGAGGCCTTTATTCCCCCCCAGGGCCACGAGGGCTTATCTGCAGCTCCCCACCCTGGTGCTGTTTGCACAGAGGGGGACAAAGTAGTATCGGGGATTAGCTGCTTATCTCAGGCAGCATCCTGCTCTGCTAGGCTGGTTTGAGCACAGCCCCCTGCCTCAGTCCAGAGGGGAGGTTCAGGGGGGCTGGAGCAGACTGACCACAGCCCCTTGGGGCTCCAGTCCTGGCATCTTCCCAGCAGGATGTTTTCTACCCCTTGGCCAGTGTGGGGAGGGAGGGGAGCCTTCCTTTTGCCCTGGGCTGGCCAAAAAGAGCAGAGGGTGCTGCTATAGCTGCATCGACATGGAGGGGAGCTGGGGAAGGCCTCTGTGCCCCTGTCCTGTGAGACCCACCCAAGGTCTGCATGGAAGTCTGGACCCCTGGGCTCTGTCCCCCCTTTGCTGCTGTGATCAGCGTTCCCCTAGTGTGTGCCGTCTTGCAGAGGGAAGGGGAAGGGTGTTGGTGTCTCTGTGGCTCTGGGGGTGACATTGTCCCTTTGGCAGACATGCTTGCCTGTCCCCACCTTAGCCCTACCAGACCCGACTGCTGCTCGTCAGCAGCTGCCAGAGGAGGAGGGCAGGTGGATTCCAGCACGTCTGCCTGCCTCCCCTTATCTCCCTTATCCGTCTCCTTTCTGCCTGAAGGGACAGAGCGGAGCTGGGGGCTTGGGCAGAGCTTCCCCCGGCCCCAGCCCTCCTACTCCTGCCTTTCCCAGGGGCATTGGGAGGGCGCAGTGTGTGGCCCCATGTCCAGCGCTGGGAGGACCCAGGCAGTGTTAAAGGCCTGTTTCTACCTGAGGGGGAGTCTGTGGAGCTGTGATGGGGGCTGGCCCCTGCCTGGCACAGTTACCTCCGGACCTGGGCTAGGGAGGGACTTGCTTTGAACTCCAGGGAACAGACTCACCCCTACATGGAGCCTTGCAAAGGGCGCCAGGAGCTGGCCCGTCCTCGCCCAGCACTGTGAAGGGGCACGCAGCTGTACTGCACCTCCGGCCTGCAAGCAGGGGTGCGCAGCTGGATGCCTCCTTTTCCCAGCTGGGGCTGGTGGATGTGCACTGGAGAAAGGGGGGCAAGCGTGATGGCTTCATAGCACAGCCATGGCATCGACGGGGCACAGGGGCCCTCTGCACGCCCATCCGTGCTCCCTCCTGGCGTTGGCTGAGCGGTGGCGTCTTCCCCCAGCCCTTGGGGCCTGGTGCCACAAGCTGGGAGCTGGGGGGGGGGGGGGCG